ACACACACACACACACACACACACACACACACACACACACACACACACACACACACACATATACACACACACAGACATATATACACACACATACCACTCTCAGGGGCCCCCTGGTAGTCACACGGCTCCATAATATAACTGGCAAAAATGTAAGAATTTCATGCATCGGCCTACAGTGGGAAAATTGTGTAATCTGTTGGAATAGAGTAGAAATATAAAATATCACTACTTGTCTTCTAAATGAAATGCTATCATTACAAAATGCATGTTTTTATACTGCAATGGCAGTGAGATCAAAAAATGTGGTCTGAATGGAAGTCAATGAGGCATTTTTGAGAGAAATTAAATAATTTAAATAATGAAACAGGCATTTAAAGGGTTAAAATCCTGAAAATGATTGAATGTTTGGTAGTTTTGAGTACGTTAGAAGTTGTTTATGTGATTCATGAACAAAAAAGTAGAAAAAGATATTGATGTATGATGATTTAATAGCAGTTGTTTGGGGCGTGTACATTTTTGCCACGAAGGTGTCCAGAGGTAGTATCTGACACTACGTAAAAAATAATAATGCAGTGAAATCAATTTTGTTGCTAATCTTTGACACATCCAAGACTCTAATAACCACCAAAGTTCCATCCCTCTACTAATTATTATATTTTTAAAAAAAATCATTTTTTGTGTTTTCTTTTCAGAATAATGAATAATTCAAATAATGAAACAGGCCTTTAAAGGGTTAAAATTCTGAAAAGGATTGAATGTTTGGTAGTTTTCAGCACGTTAGAAGTTGTTCAACTGATTCCTGGAAAAAAAAGTTTAAAAAAATATTGATGTATGATGATTTAATAGCAGTTATTATGAGCGTGTACATTTTTGCCACGAAGGGGTCCAGAGGGTGCAAAATGCATCACGAGAGTATACAAAACATGTAAGAGTAAACGACAATGGATTTCAAAAATGTGACTCAAAAGACTCTGTTATTGTCTGTTAGCTCTGATATTGTATGTTAGCTCTGTTATTGTCTGTTAGCTTCTTTTAGCTTCTGTTTTGGCTCTGCTGCTGAAGGAGGGCTAGAGCTAGCTGCAGATGCTAACAACGCTAACTATAGTTATCTCTATAAAGCCGTGTTACCTTTCCCGCTCTCGGTACACAGTAACCGAGTTCTGACCGGGTTCTGATCGGGTTCGGACCGGGTTCTTACCAGGTTCTGACCGGGTTCGGACCGGGTTCGGACAGGGTTCTGACAGTTAGCCAGAAGCTAACTGCTAACTACACAAGAGTGCTGTCAGACGGCGAGTGAAGAGGGTCAAAATAAAAATAAAGGAAACTGTAGACTGAGGGTCAATCTGTATTTATTATTTATAAAAGGAAGAATAATTGTTTTGCTGATCCTCTTGGGGAATTTATTCAATTAGTTTATTTTAAAAACGTTTGTCCCCCGAAACTGTACATCAGGAAAAGGCACGGACTTCACTGAGGGCTATTATCATAGGGCTAGAATACAGTGACGTCACGTGTTACCCATGAATATGAACAATAACTGCTCCTCCAGCACAGCAGGGGGCGCAGGAGCAGCTGATCAGCACCGCCTTTAAACCAGGAGGACAAGAAGAAGAAGAAGTCCGTGACCTCATCAAGGCGCTTCTCCTGCAGCACCATAATAATAAGATAATAATACATTACATTTATATAGCGCTTTTCCTGGTGCTCAAAGATGAAGCGCTGGGTCCGGACCGGGGCCGCTCTGGTGCTGGGAGCGGGTCTGGGAGTCTGGGTCGGCCGCGCGACGAGCCTCAGCCCCGGGGAGGAGCAGCGGGGGGTCGGGGGGCTGCTGGAGAGGCTCCCGGTGATCCCGGTGATCCCGGGGGTGGAGGCCTCCGAGCTCACGGTGAGAGTACTGTACTGTATTTATAGAGACTACTGGACTGTACTGAGACTGTACTTAAGTACTATTTATAGAGACTTTACTCCACTGCACTTCAGAGATACATGGTGTACTTTTACTCCACTACATGTATTTAATCCCTTCAATTACTTTACAGACTTTAGTTCCACCTGGAGTAAATCCACCAGCTACCCTGCAGTATACAAAGTCATTCAAACTAGCTGCACCTTTACCAGCTTTGAGAACACTTTCATGATCAATCATTATAAAACATATCATATATATTATTCTGAAATGGACCAATCTGCACAACGACTACTTTTACTGTTGCTAGTTTCACTATATTTTGATGAGAATACTTTTCTACTTATCACCTTGGTGTACACGTCTCAATCAGTCACTGAACACCTGAGCACATACTGCAGATTAAAAAAGAGAAATACAATCTGAGCTGTGTTTTTTATAAAGGTCCCATGTCATGGCCATTTCTACTGATCATAGTTCCATTGTTGAGGTCTACTAGAATAGATTTACATTGTTCAATGTTCCAAACTCAACTTGGTCAGCTCGCCCACTCTGTTCTGATGAGTCCACCACCGTTACAGCGGAACGTCAGTGATTATGTGTTACAATGGCGTTTGTTAGCAACCAGGAAATGACACCAGTAATGACAAACAGATGAGAATGCTGCGTGGGGTCTGGGTGCTGCGAGACGTGTGTGTGTGTGTGTGTGTGTGTGTGTGTGTGTGTGTGTGTGTGTGTGTGTGTGTGCGCGCGCACTCCTACAGGGTGTACTTTGAGGGTTTGTGACTCTGCAGACCGTTTACATGCAGAAGCTACAGAACACAAAGGGACGGGTCGGAACCAGAGAAGCCCGCTGTGAAACTTTTCTTGTTTCCATAGCAACATAACAACTTCCTTTCAACAGGGTTAACTCGCCTTCAAAATAAAAGCATGCCAAATTACACTTAAGACATACAACTGCAACGAAAGTAACAAACACAATGCAATATCCTTTTCAATTTCAAAGAACACAAATAGGGTTATTTACAGGTGTTGTTTTGTTTGGTAGAGGGTCGCTTTCATTGATGCGTTTTGCA